ACATGGTTGTGGAACAGTATGGAACCCTCAATTGCGGCTAATTTTATGTTTGTTAACACTGCCAAGGAGATTTGGAATGCTGTTCAAGAAACCTATTCGATGGACAAGAATGTTTCTCGAATATATTCTTTGTATGAGAAGATGCTTCTTTTCCGTCAGTTCGGTAAAAGTATAGGTGAATATTACAATGCTTTCAAAGGATTGATGAACTAAATCAATACCACCCCATTGACTACTGACCTTGATGTTTTAAAATGACAACGTGAAGAATTTTATGTATCAATTTTTCTTGCTGGCTTGGACACCAACCTTCAGGCAGTTCGTAATCAGATTCTTGCTAGTGATGGAGGACTCCCATCTTTGGGTAATGTTTATGCACATTTACTTCGAGTTGCTGAATCATCATCCTCAAAGTCTGTGGGAAGAGAAAATTCAGCATTATTTACCTCTTCTGGTAGTCAAAATTCTGCAAAGGGTCGTAGAAATTCTAGTGGTAATCGTGGCTATGGAGGAAATATTGGGGCTTCATGAGGACATGGCGTTCGTGACAGAGGCCGAGGTAGATGTTGTCGTGGACGTGGAGAAGCACGCCATTGTGGGTATTGTCATGGTTCCAATCATACTATTGATTCTTGTTGGGATCTTTATGGAAAGCCAGCATGGGCAAATCAAGCTGTGATTTCTTCGGACAGTGCTTCCCATACTTCTGTTGGAAAAGAGCCTTTAGTTCCCCGCGATTCTATCTCTCAACCAAGTTCATCTACTGGTGATACTGTCACGCTTTCATGTGAGTTAAGAGCCTTGGTCAGAAAGGCACAAAATAAATCCACTGATGATGTTGTCACTTTCACGCATTCAGGTACTAATGCATGTTTTTCAGACTTACAGTCTTCCTCCTCCCCATGGGTTATCAACTCAGGGGCTTCTGCCCATCTGACTGGTAATGATTCTTTGTTTTCTACTTTGCACCGCTCTAATTGCACATCTTCCGTTACTCTTGCGGATGGTAGTACTCATTCTATTGTTGGCCAGGGTACAATTAGCCCAACTTCTGCCCTTTCATTATCCTCTCTGCAACTTGTTCCTAAATTTCCTTTTAATTTATTATCTGTGAGTAAACTGACTAAAGCACTCAATTGTTCTGTGACTTTTTATCCTTCTTAATGTATATTTCAGGACCTCAAAACGAAGAAGACGATTGGTGGCGGTCCTGAACGAAATGGTCTCTATTACTTGGATTGTGGTTCTTCTTCTCGTGGTGTGGCTCTCCATTCAAGGGTCTCTGCCGAGCAGTGGCATTATCGTCTGGGTCATCCTTCATTGAAGTACTTGAAGCCCGCATTACCATTTCTTGAGTCGGTTACTTTAGATTGTGAGTCATGTCAATTAGGCAAGCATCATAGAGTTTCATTTCCTTCTCAAGTCAATGATCGTTGGTCTAGTCCTTTTGATTTAGTGCATACTGACATTTGGGGCCCTGCCCATCATAAAAGTGTATTAGGTTTTTCATATTTTGTTACTTTTGTTGATGACTATTCAAGGATGACTTGGCTATTTCTAATGAAAGATCGTTCTGAACTTCTTCCTGTTCTTCAACTATTTTATACAGAAATTGAGGTTCAGTTTGGATGTGTTATTCGTACTTTGCAATCTGATAATGCTATGGAATATGTTAAAGGTGCTATTTCCGATTTCTGTGATAGTCGTAGTATTCTCCATCAAACTTCATGTTCTTATACTCAACAAAATGGAGTCTCTTATACTCAACAAAATGGAGTTGCAGAACCAAAAAATAGGCATTTACTTGAAATAGCTCTTAGTTTAATGATCCATATGCACCGAAAGAATTTTGGGGGGATGATGTTTTAACTGCTTACTATTTAATTAATCGTATGCCATCTTCAGTTCTTAAAGGGAAGTCTCCTTATTCTATTCTTTATCCTTATCGTCCTTTATTTGCGTTGCCTCCTCGTGTTTTTGGTTGTGTTTGCTTTGCTCAAGTATTAAATCCTGGAATTGATAAATTGTCTCCTCGTGCAATAAAATTTGTATTTGTTGGATACTCTCGAACTCAAAAAGGGTATAAATGTTGGGACCCTAGCACTCGTCGTTATGTTGTGTGTATGGATGTGACCTTCTTTGAAGCCACTCCTTTCCTTTCTTCATGTGGTCAGTCTCTAGATACTGATATGTTGCTTCCCTTGCCTATTGTTACTAATGACTCTGCTAGTACATCACTTGAGCCTCACACACATCCACTTCAAGTGTAAAGTCGATGACCAAAGAAAGCACCACACCAGTCGTCTACTTCTGTTGAGGATCCTTCTCATGATGATCTTCCTATTGCCTTGGCACAAAGGAACTCATTCTTGCACTCAGCATCCGGTTGAACATGGTATTTCCTTTGCTCATTTATCTTCATCTTTTCAGTCATTTGTTTTTGCTTTGTCTTCTGTTTCTGTTCCTCAATCATATCTTCAAGCCCTTTCCTCTCCTGGTAGGAAACATGCTATGCTTGAAGAAATGGCAGCTCTTCAACATAATGATACATGGGTCTTTAACTCCTTTACCTCTTGGAAAGCAAACAGTTGGCTGTTGATGGGTGTATGCCATCAAGTACCATCCTGATGGTACAATTGAAAGGTTGAAGGCTCGCTTACTAGCTAAAGGCTATACTCAGACATTTGGGGTAGACTATTTTGAAACATTTTCACCTGTTGCTTGTCTTAATTCTATCCGTATTCTATTGTCAGTTGCAGCCATTCATAATTGGATTCTCTATCTGCTAGATATTAAAAATGTTTTCGTACATGGCGATATTCAAGAAGTTTATATGGAGCAACCACCTGGGTTTATTGCTCAGGGGGAGTCACATCTTGTGTGTCGATTAAAGAAAGCTATTTATGGGTTGAAGCAGTCTCCAAGTGCATGGTTTGACAAATTTAGTGCTGTAGTGAGTAATTTTGAGTAAAAAGAAATACGTCAGATCATTCTGTTTTTGTGAGACATTGCCAAGGTGGTACTATCATTCTAGCAGTTTATGTAGATGATATTGTCGTGATAGGAAGTGATAAAAATGGTATTGATGAATTGAAGCATTTTTTGAGCAAGCATTTTCATATGAAAGACTTGGGTCAATTGAGATATTTTTTGGGAATAGAAGTAGCAACATCTCAGAAAGGCATTTGCATATCTCAAAGGAAGTATGTATGTGACTTATTAAGTGAGACTGCATGTTAGGAGCAAAATCGATCAATACTCCTATGGATTTAAGTATAAAGTTTACCTCAGATGAGGGAGAACTTCTTAATAATCCAGGAAGATATCGAAGACTTGTTGGGAAATTGATATATTTGACTGTGACGAGACCTGACATAACATTTGCAATAGGAGTGGTAAGTCAATTCATGCAACAACCTAGACAACCTCATTTGGATGCGGTATATCGAATTTTGAGATACTTGAAAGGAGCTCCTGGTACAGGACTTGTCATTAAGTCTTCTAATAACATGGATATTGCTGGGTTTACAGATGCAGATTGGGCAGGAAGTAAAATGGACAGGAGGTCTATATCTGGATATTGCACGTTTGTTGGAGGTAATTTGGTAACATGGAAAAGTAAGAAGCAAAATGTTGTGGCGAGATCTAGTGCAGGGGCAGAGTATAGAGCAATGGCTCATACAGCTTGTGAAATGATGTGGGTAAAATCTCTTTTACGAGAGATGGGTTTTTGCGACAACAGGCCTATGAGAATGATTTGCCATAATCAGGCTGCTATGTATATTGCCAGCAATCCAGTGTTTCATGAGAGAACTAAACATATCGAAGTAGATTGCCATTTTGTGAGAGACTTGGTGATGAGTAAGAGGATAATTACTACTTATGTGAGATTCAATTGGGCGATGAATTTACTAAGGCCTTGGGAAAATCGCAATTTTCAGAATTATGTAATAAGTTGGGCATGATAGATATCTATGCTCCAACTTGAGGGAGAGTGTTGAGTAATAGTGTAATAAATGATAGAGTTGGGGTTATATTGTAAATAAGCTACACTTGGAAGTGTGTATATAGATTTTAGGGTTCTCTGGCATCTGAAGAGAACACCACCAAACATCTCGTTTCTCTCTCTCTCTATCTCTTTTATCTCTCAACAATACCAAAAAGAAGTTTTGGGTTTTGGCTTACTCAAACCGAGAGCCAAGAGCTATATATATATACAAGAATATGGTACAAAGAAAGGAAACTAAATCAAAGAAAAACAGAAAATATGCCAAAATCTACGTGATCCCATGATTATGGGAATCTTATCTACCTGATCCCGTGATTATGGGGATCTTATCTACGCGATCCCGTGATAATAGGAATCTTACATAAAAACACCTAATAAAAGGCTAAAAACAGCTAATAAAAATAAAAATAATAATAATACAGATATTTCAACAGTAACAACAAACACAGCGAACCAAAAACAAATTACGAAACACGACAGACAAGTAAATACGCCCACACAAAGAACACAAAGATTTAGCGTGGTTTGACACAAGTTGTGTCTATGTTTGCAGTGAAGATCCGACGAAAGATTTCACTATGCAAAAAATAAGAGATTACAAGTTTCAGCCCCCAAACCCTAACTCTCGCTCTCTTTCTGCAATTTTCAGTGTTTTCTCATTAACCCACTCCAAACCCTAAGAGCCCTTATATATTGGGCTACAAGACTATACTAAATAGGGTCCATGACCTGCAAGAAAAAACAGGCGACACAAAGCTCAATTATGGAGTCGAAAAGCGACCTAGAACCAAATTCGGGCAACAACATCACGTCTATCAATATTTTATCAAGGCGTAAATCACTCCTATCATGAAAATTTCTCCCAACATCCCATTTTGTGGGTGTCATTTTATCAGCAAAATACTTGCAGTCATGACTCTGAGTGGATATCATAATTTATAAAGAAAAATAGAATCGAAAAAATACATTTCTTGCAAGAGAGAAAACTTACTTGAGGAAGCGGTAATACCACAAAGACATCTACAAGAAAGTATCCAGAAAGATAATTGAGAGCGATTTTTTTTGGATGGTCAACCAAGTCTCCAGCACCAACAACTCTAGATTCGGGAGCAATATAAGCCAGACGAAACTGCAAAACACAAATTGGATATAATTGTCATCATTTAAACTACATTGCATCAGACTGGAGCAATCAAATACATTTCTTGCATGCATTAGTGTGTCATGGGTAAAGACATTTAATTCACTTAATAATGTAATGTACACAACATATGAAACATAAGTACTCATATAGTGTCTCCCATAAATATTACCCTCCCAAGACTAGCTTTAAATTAAACTAAAAATATAAGGAACATCTATGGAATATTATTTTAGTTCAAAGGTTCAAACTCTTGCACGATTAGCTTTGACTATCTCGTTCTCCCACCGACCAAGCTTCTCTGCCCATGGATAGTGATGGGGAATGAGCTATAATGATTTTCATGGATGATGAGTCACACGTGTTCAAGCTCTACTTTTCGAAAAGGGGAAAAGAAAGATAGAATTAGGGGATTTAGTAAATTAGGGTTTTATTTATGCTTATGGTTATTGTTAGTAATGTTTTAATTTTAAGGATATTTTAGGATTTTATTATCTAGGGTTTTGCTATTATTTTGCCTATATAAAGGCTCCTTCGTAATATAAGAATTTAGTCTTGAGAAAAAAAAAAATTTTTTTTTTTTTGATAAGTAAAATTGTATTAGAAAGCGTTCAAAAGGGGAACGCGTCCCAAGATTAGTACAACCACCAAGAACAAAACAAAAAAACAAAGAAAAGAGGCGACCTATGGACCCAGAGACCCCAAAAAGTCCACGATCTCCTCAACAGAAGAACTCTCTCCCCCCATACCCCAACAAAAAAGAGTACAAATGATGGAGTACTTTAATACCCCAATGGGTAACTCCTCCCCAACAAAGGATCTTCTATTACGTTCTTTCCACAGGCACCACCAAATGCAAAGAGGAGTCGCCCTCCAGAAAACATGAACACGAGTCCCCACCCTTAGCCCCCTCCAAATATCAATAAGACCCCGTGAGGTCCAAGGTATAACCCACTGGACGGTAAAAAGACCCAACATAAGGTTCCAACAGTCATGGGCCACTAGGCAGTGTAAGAGAAGGTGATCCACAGACTCTCTATCGGCCATACACATACAACACCGATTAACAATGATATGTCGTCTCTTCCTCAAATTGTCCAGAGTCAAGATTTTACCCCCAAACAGCAGTCCAAACAAAGAAAGCCACCCTAAGAGGAGCCTTCGAATGCCAAACCGTCTTCCACGGGTAAACGGAGACCTGAAAGCCGAAAATACGAAAGAAGAAAGACCGGAACTGAAAAGTCCCCTGTGAAGAAGGCATCCAAGTCAAGAGGTCCGCCCTAGTACCATCCACCTTCTATCGATACAAAAGATCCATGAAGCCAAAAACATCATCCAGCTCCCAATCCTGAAAGGCCACCGGAACTGAATATCCCAAGAAAACCTACCACTATCAAGGTGATAGCAATTGGCAACCAAAGCATGACAATCCACAGCAATCCTAAACAACCTTGGAAACCATCTACACAATGGACGTTCCTCGCACCAAGGATCCTCCTAAAACCGTATATTTCGACCTTCCCCAACTCTGAATCTAATATGCTTAGAAAACTCATCCCAACTCTTCCCAATAGAATGCCACGCGCCCACGCCGATAGCAGATATAACCGGTCTAGCAGACCATCCCCCTCTCTCCTCCCCAAACCGACAAGCAATAAGCTTCCTCCATAATCTATGTCTTTCACTACCAAACCTCCAAAGCCACTTTCTAAGGAGAGCCCTGTTGAAAGGGACCAATCTCCGAATCCCAAGACCTCCCGACTTAAAAGGCTTGCACACCTGCTCCCACCTAACAAGATGATACTTAAACTCCTCCCCCCTGCAACCCCAGAGGAAATTACGTTGAATCATCTCAAGTCTCCTGACAATGGAAGAGGGAATTTGGAACAGGGAAAAGAAATAAGTTGGAAGACTGGACAGAACACTCTTTACCAACGTGACCTTTCTTCCCTTCAAAAGATATTGTTTTTTCCACCCAGCTAATCTTCTCTCGAAACACTTTATAACCAGGTCTCAACTACCCGCCCTTCTAGAGGAGACACCCAAAGGCAAACCCAAATAAGAAATAGGAAAGGAGCTCGTCCTACATCCAAGAACAGCTGCAAGAGAAGCCACCTCCTGAACCTCCCCCACAGAAACAAGAACACTATTGCCCACGTTAATTCTCAAGCCAGAAACAGCCGGAAAACAAACCAGAGCACATCTCAAAAATCTCAATTGGGACACCTCTGCCTCACAGGAAACCAAAGTGTCATCCGCGAACTGCAAGTGAGAAATCTCCAATTGATGTGATGCCTCTGAACCAATCTTAAAGCCCCGTATAAATCCCAAGGTCACAACCCTCCTCATCAGCCTACTAAGGGCCTCCATGACAATAATAAACAAGAAAGGGGAGAGAGGTCCCCTTGCCTCAAACCACGAGAGCTTCCAAAGAACCCAGATGGAGAACCGTTAACCAATACTGAAAATCTGACAGACGAAACGCAAGTAACAATCCAAATCCTCCATCTCTCTCCGAAACCCATCCTCTCGAGCAAATAGAACAAGAAATTCCAACAAACATGATCATAAGCTTTCTCAAAATCCTGCTTACACAAGACTCCGGGGGCCCCACTACGAAGTCTAACACATTCACTAGCAATAAGAGCAGAATCCAGAATCTGCCAACCCCCAATAAACGCATTCTAAGACTCTGAAATGACTCCGTCCAGAACCCCCCTCAACCTCGATGCCAGAACTTTAGCTATGAGCTTATACAAACACCCAATCAAGCTAATAGGTCCAAAATCCTTGATGTCAAAAGCTCCCCCCTTCTTAGGAATCAAAGCAATAAAAGAAGTGTTTAGCGACTTTTCGAATTTTCCATTGAAATGAAACTCAAGAAAAGTGCCTATAATCTCCAGTCTAACCACCTCCCAGCTTTCCAGAAGGAAACTCATAGTGAAACCATCTGGGCTGGAGCTTTATCACCATTACAACTCTTTAAGGCCTCCAGAACCTCATCCTCCGTGAATGGCCTCTCAAGCCCGTCCCTATCCTCCACTGAAATAGAGTCGAAGTGAAGACCATCCAGCCTTGGCCTCCGTCGAAGAGGCTCAATATATAACCTCTGATAGAAAGAGACAATCCCCGTTCGCACTTCCTCATCAGAAACCAACAGCGAACCATCCACACGAATCTAACCAATATGATTGCCCCTCCTATGAGCATTAGCCGTTCGGTGAAAAAACTTAGTGTTACGATCTCCTTCTTTGAGCCACAATGCCCTAGATTTCTGCCGCCACGAGATCTCCTTCATCACCACAATCTCAGCACATTCAGCCTGACAAGCTGCTCTCCTCTTACGTTGAAGCTCATCAAGACCTCCCGCTGCATCCAATCTATCCAACTGATATGGCCCAATTCTTCCTCCATTCCAGATTACCGAAAACCTCCTTATTCCATCTTTTAAGTTTATCCTTCAGATTACGAAACTTTCCTGCAAGGATAAAACTCGAAGTTCCCACCACTATGTCCTCCACCCACCAATTCCGCACCAAAACCTGAAAGTCCGTCGCTTTAAGCCACATGTTTTCAAATCTGAACAGGGTGCAACGAGGTCTCAAACCTCCACAATCCAAGACTAAAGGAATGTGATCCGATGTCACCTTAGCCAACACAGACTGGACTGTGTCCGAAAACTGCTCCTCCCACTCTCTGAAAATCAAGAATCTATCCAAGCGGGAAAAAGTAGACAACTCCCTACCACTAGACCAAGTAAAAGCAGCTCCCTCCAAAGGGAGATCAATAAGCTGATGATCATCGGATAAAACTCTGTAAAAAGTCTCATAGCCAGAGTCCATAATCCACCTGTAGACCTCTCCAATAGGGATCTAACCAGATTAAAGTCACCTGCCACACGCCATAGGAGAGACCACATCTCCTGAACCCCACTAAGCTCCTCCCACAGCACAAGCCTCTCGCAGTCATCCACTGGCCCATACACACCAGGGAAAGCACAAGGGAAACCATCATCTTCCAACACAAAGGCACAAGACAAAGAGAATATCCCCCTACAGACATCAACCTTACCCATCCATCGCCTATCCCACATGAGAAGAATGCCTCCAGAAGTCCCCACTGAATTCAGTGCCTCCTATTCAACGAACCTCCTACCCCAAAGACTCTTGACGACTCTATCAGTCATATAATCAATCTTCGTTTCATGGAGACACACCAAATGAACCCCCCATTTCCTCACCGCCATCTTCACTACCTTCCTCTTGCCCGGATCGTTAAGGCCACGGACGTTCTAGGATAGAAGTCGTAGTTTCATGGAAAAACAACAACGCCCCCCACCCCCTTGCCCCTCCCTCCCTCCCTCTTTTTCTCCCCCCTTCTCCTTCGCCCCCACATGAACCCCATCATAGTCACATCACAGCGAAGATTTCTCGACTCCCTTTCCCTTCTCGAAAAGGAATGCGTATTCTTCCTCCTGTTACTCCTTCTAGAAAATTGAGTCATCCCCCCTTCTCTCCCCTCCACCATAGCCTGAAGAATTGCTAAAGCCTGCTTTCAATTACCTTCGCAAGAAACTCCCAACAAATCACTTGTGGCCTATTCAAGACCCAATCCTTGTCGACGTCATCACACCCCTGCCAGTCAAGGTCGTTGGCCATCCCCTCCGGCCGAACAACTGCCAGAGGCTCAACAATCCCCAAATTAGAGAAATTGAATATTATCGTTAAGTTTGCGAACTCCCTTTGTGTCCTTCTCCCTCCTTGTTCTTGTTGTTCTTAATCCCTTCGTCTATCTATCCTACCTCCTTCAGTTTGCTTTCTCACTCCCTTCATCTGTCCTCTCATCACTTTCTTCTCGCCTTATCTCATCTGCTCATTCTCATCCCTTGCTTTCCTTCTGGTTAAATGTCAACCACCTAAATCTAATGTCCCACATCATCCCATTCTAGATAATCGTGTAGAGGATGTTAGAATTCATGCCTCACACAC